GAGCAAATAGTACGCGCTATGATTCAGGAGACCAATCACAAAGCAGATGATAAAGAATGGTTAATTGCATTGTCACATTGTCGTGAAGCTCTTCGACCAATCACATCAAAGATCATGCAAAAAGATTGGGATCGTCGTCCTGCATTTAACGATGTTCGAATGGGCGACTTCATTGTCATTAAGAATTGGGGTTCTACCAAATGCTTCCACTACGACAACCACTGGCCCAAAGGCAATCACAATACCAAGATTGCCTTGTCCAAGGGACACATATATGGTCCAATCATCCATTTCGGCATCTTCGACAAGTTCTTTGCGGTACAAGTACCTATTCTCAACTACGGTTTACGATGGGTAAATATCTGGTATAATGACAAAAGCATGCCCCTCAAGGGCGTTGTATTTGCATTACCGATTCGTATCGAAGAACACGCCATCGATCCAACATGGATGGAGACTGCCCTGAAAGGCCCGACATCATGCAGCGAGGAGATACTGCAGCACAAGGTTAGCGGCAGCTTACCATACCTTGGAATGCCTAGCATCCATAGACCACGTATTCCGCGTACACCACCAAGAAGGCCCGCTCCACGGACACCTGATCCAGACGAGCTGGTGGCCACACCTGCCGAGGACAACGCTCAGACGGGCGACATTCCTCGACAGGGTACAGCATCATCGCATGATCCACTGATCACCGTAATCGTAGACATATCAAATATCGTTCTTACTGCAGATGAGAAAGCTGCGAACGACAACATGAGAGCAGACCTCTCGGCAGACATCCAAGCAGAAGATCAGATTGAGGCAAGCATCCTTGACAACACCATTGATCCGCCATCGAATTTCCTTGACCATCCAGATTACGACCCCGACGAGGATTCAAGATGGATTAGACAGTCTGATGATTGCCGCGTGTATTGTTGGACATCGGCGTTATTGGTGGATTCGCCTATGATCAAGATGAGGCAGATCATCGAGAGACACAGTGGCGCAGACAGAATCGTAATGGACAAAATTCAGTCCCATTTACAATTCGAAATTCGATTTGGATCGAAAGCATGGAATGCGGAGTCATATCATTTGAACTACAATCATACCCACAAGTGGGCACGTGATTTACCCAATTGTGGCGCAGATCATTTCTTCAAAAAGTTGGTACACTACCTCGACCCAGAGACTATCGAGGAGTCGACCACAGGCATCTTTCAATGGATTTCCAAAGTATACCAGAACATCTTGAAAGATAGTATTGTGGAACTACCAGGTTTCGCCAAGGAAGTCATCCATGACAACCATCCGGCACTTCAGGCATTGCGTGACCTATACAAAAATTGTACTGCGACATACGGTGATCCAGAGTTTCCTGCGTGGGAAGAGCTGGTGGAAACACCTGCTGCGCCTCGAGAGGAAGGCGCTGAGCAGGATATTCCCCAGGACCCAGGCAGCGTTGCCTCTGCAGATCCCGATCAGGAAACTATGGTACGTATCATAGCCGAGCAGACGGGACTCAAGCGCGAGGAGGGCGACAACGAGGCTACCTTGCAGAAGCAGGCTCGCCGTCTTCGTGAGGAGAACGTATGCCATGGCGGTACTGAGGATACCGACAACGTCAAGACAGAGTACAAAGGACTGCCAGGGGAAAGGTTGTCTCGGATCGAGATCGAGGGTTTAAGCAGATCGATCGCTTCCAGACCAAACACCGAGATCAATCGTGAGGCGATCAATCAGATCGGTCAGAGCCTCGCTCGCGGTCAGGACACCCGCTGGGGATCCCGAGATCACCTGACCTCGGCTGGGGCCTCCGAGACGATCTTGCATCCCATACCGCTCTGTAACAATTGCGGTCGAGATCTGTCCCTCGGGATCGTCACAGGTGACGGCACACTCTGTGATATATGTTGGCAATACACTGTGGCCGTAGGCGCCACAGGTAAGAGCACCGCCACACAAAGTGACCTCGCGCACCTCCAGAAGTTGACGAACTGGATCAAGACGACGTTGTCCGAGGACCAGGTCGCGAGATACATGAAGGATGGCGCACATGTTATTATGACAGGTGCGCGATCCCCCATAGGCACAGAGAAAGATCAGTTGCGGAGATTGGCCAATACGTCCAAAAAGAGGTACCAGAAGTGGGTCGAAGCCGGTAGCCCGCCTGCACACGAATGCAGATTAATGGGCGAATCCGAGGACGACCGACCTCTGTACTACCCATTCGCCAATCTCATACAACGCTTTCTCAACGACCTCAGATTCCATCATCAGATGACAGGCGCCCGCGTGAATGTCGGCAAGAAGCCCTGGAGCGTCGAGGACATGCGCGACGCGTGGGACATCCTTGACGTCAGTATTAGGACAGGACAGGCTGGTCGGAGAAAGTGGTGGCTGAACGAGGGACGCATTGACAGGCAGACGCGGCAGGCGCGCGGACTGATTACGGTTTCTCTCCCTCGAAGGGACGGAACCCGCGAACAGTTCACCCAGCGCAAACTTGCCGCGATTGCCAACGAACTGATAGGCCCCCTCGATCCGTCACACACTGACCAGAGGGGGGGTAGTACAGGGATGAGAACCGATCCAGATACACACTCCCGACAGTCCGATGACGCCATGGAGCCGCGGCCGCCGCCGCGCCCGCCGCCGCGCTCTGCTCCTGGCGACGCCGCTGCATCCAGCGCCTCAGGCGCGGAGGACTACACGCCCGCGATGCCGCGCGCCAAGAGAGCACGTACATCTGATTACGCTGCTTACTGGCGCCACAATCTCGAGGACAGCGATTGGGGTCTTCGATACTGGAGTTACTACATCAAATGTTGGATCTACATTGCGATCAACAGCGACGAGTACGTGTACATCCAGGATATCACGTGCAACGATTGGTTCCGCAACTGGATCCCGAGGACAACTTGGGAAACGTTTACGACAAGCTACGCGACGTACAACGGCCAGAGGGTGTGGGACCGCAGGTTCTACAAGGACGGCGACGCGTAGTGCGTCGGCCGCAAGGCCCACTGCTCAAGAGCAGAACTTCCTTTCATCAAAGTTCGCCTTGAGCGGTGGCTAATACATTCTTTTAGGCCACTTCAATCATTCACACAAGTGGCCATACACACATATAGATATCTTTTGCGATCACCGAGGCAGCCTCCTAAGGAGCAACGCCAACGGGAGTCGCCAAACAGATTTGTATACATCATTTTCGTGTTCATCAACACGACATTTTCTCCTGGCCAGGTACTTGCTTTAACACAGATTTGCATTTCTTTCAGGATCGCGTTCGTCAACGCGATCTTGGCATACATTTGCTTTTAGGCAGACTTGTGTTTGATTTCAAGATTGTGTTCGTCAACACGATCTTAGCATGCATATTTTAACAATTTAACAATATTGCGTCGAGAATAATCTGCTAGCTGGTGGCAACACCTGCCTCGCAAATCTTGCGAGGCAGTTTACATGTTGCCTTGGTGCTCAGATCTTCTTTCTCCGCCTACCTTTGTCTCATTCTTCTCCTCCCTCGAGCGCCGAAGCGTTTTGGGGGGCGCACCGAGGGGGCGGCAAAGTCCGCCTGGAGAATGAAAAATGACCCAAGGTATCTCTTCTTACCTCAACTTGCAACTGGGCCCCGCTGACTTTTAGCCCAGCTGCCTTTCAGACTTAAGGTAAAGGAGTTCAGAGGTTACGGATTCCATCCTGCTGATCCCGAGTCCTGCCTTCACGGGCGGGATTCGGGACGGGGGGTGTGTATGGAACCCGTGTAATACCCTCATATATACTCCTTATCCTTACCTCTCCCGCACCTGGCCGTTTGGGCTCAGGTACTGAGTTGGAGCGATGGTACCTTGATCGCGTGGGAGGGGAAGATATCCATATATCCCTCCATCTCTCTACCAACGGACCAGGGGTTCTGTACCCTTGTACTTCAACCCCATACACAGGTCCAGGTGCGATTGGGTCGAGGCGAGGCGAGACTCCAGCTGGGCCAACAGCTCGAGGGATCGCGGATGCCGCCTCCAATCCCTGAGAAGATCGCCAGCTTCAACGCAGGCCGCCAAGGCCTCCACCTCGCGCTGGCGAGCCGTCCTGGCCATGACTCGCAAGGCCTCCCCGGCGACGTTGCGCGGGTCGGCGGTAGACACAGCAACATCCGGTTCCGAAAGGGCGCGGACCATCTTCTCGGCGGTCTCCACGATCGAAACCATATCCGAGCCCTGGCCATGCTCCATGGACTGGTCTCCTGTGTCAGGGGTAGGCCGTAGACAGGGAACGACGGGACCTCCTTGAGCCCTTGGATCTCCAAGATCATCGGGAGCAAGCGCAAGCGCTCCATCATCCGGTTGGCGGATTCGATGGCCTGGATTCCGATGCGCCTCAACACCACGATATCCACGAGCATGATCAGGTGCACCACCAGCCGCTTGAGGCAAATGATCCCCTTCTCGCGGAAGGTCATCAGGAAGAATATGCCAAGCGCCCTGGTTTGGCTGCCCAGGTGCAGACCGCAGCACCAGACCAGAGAGACCGTGCAATCTCCTGTTGAAGACCTGTGTCCGTGATCAGCGGCCACGACGAAAGGGAGCTTCGAAATCAAGTGCTTGAGCCAGCTTACTAGAAAGCCGTTGAGCATGTCCTGGCTCCACTAATTCATTAGACGGATATGCAAGACTGTCTATGCGACTTCCGGCTCTGCACGAGTTGCTGAATCAACCAGTCAAGTCGGGCCCTGGTGATCATCGCTGGTGGGGATGATGGGGTGAACGGGGGGCGCGCACGTGCGCAACCTCGGCCAATGACCCAGGCAAGTGCTTGAGCCCAAGTGGCTACCCTCCTCCTCCTTGTCCTCCTCTTCCTCCTCCTTCTCCTCCTCCTCCTCTTCCTCCTTCGCCTTCTCCTTGCACCCCCCCCTCCCCCCTCCCGCCCCCTCCCCGCCCTCATCGAACCACGAGCCTGTCCGAGCCTGCCGCGCCGCCGGCGTTCGCCGTAGCCCCCTGCATCGGCAG